GAGGTCAAGGTTTGATTCCCAGTCAGGGCACATGGCCTGGCTGTGGCCTTGATCCACAGTGTGGGGCGTGCAGGAGGCAGCCAATTGATGATCTCTCTCTCCTCTCTCATCATTGATGTTTCTATCTCTCTCTCCCTTCCTCTCTGAAGTCAATTATATATAAGGAATGTTTTGCCTAAAGCCCTTCCAGAAGATAAAAAGGCATTCTTTTGGTCATAAAATGATAAAAAGGGAAGAAAACACAACAATGGGCAAGCCTCTTCTTTAAGACCGTCAACTGGTGCTTAAATGAAAATAATTGTGTGTTAGATGCCAGGGGGAGGGGCCCTCGGGAAGCCCCAGGTGTGAGCTCAGACCGGTGTATGTGGTGTGTGTGTATGTATGTGTGTATGTGTGTGCGTGTGGTATGTGTATGTGTGTGGTGTGTGTGTGGTGTGTGTGTGTGTGTGTGGTGTGACTGTGTGTATGTGGTATGTGTATGTGTGTGTTATGTGTGTGGTGTGTGTGTGTGTGTGCTGTGTGTGTGTGTGGTGTGTGTATGTGTGGGGTGGTGTGTGTGTGTGTGTGTGTGTGTGGTGCTGCCTGAGCCCACACTGAGGTGCAGAGGCCCTCGGATGAGCCGCTGAGGTCCCCTCTGTCTACTGAGGCCCAAGTGGACAAGAGACTGATGCCACGCTCAGGGTCTGCTGGTCACAGCAGCCAGCCTGGTGACACCGGGAAGCAGTTAATCCCCTTCCACCCACGGAGGGGCAGCCTCGGCGGGCCCCACCCACACAGGCAACACCCAGCCCTCCCCACCCGCCCGAAATGACACCTCAGAGCACCTGTGTGAAGTCTCCAGGGCTTTCTGCACATAAAAATTAGTCAATTAGCAATGATTACCGTACGTTAGGCAAGCGCGGGTTGTTATTATCCTAATTTTACAGAGAAAATGAGAGTGGTGGAGGTGCCAGGAGAAAAATTAAAATTAACGAGTTCCTAGATCATAGGCCTGAGCTGCAAGGACTTTAAAGAGCTTGCTTGTTAAAAAAAAAAAAAATGCTGTAAAGGGAAACTTGAATATTACAAAACAGACTTTCCGAATTAAAACTGTTCGATTTACTCATGGAACTAGCGCTGGGATTCTGTTTTTCATTTATGACTGGAAGCTGCTAGTTTTTTTATTTCATACCTTCCTGTACATCTGGGAGGGCCAGCCATTGAGTTTGATGGGAGATTCCGTCTTATCATGGATCTTCACTCTTCAAATTGAGTTCCTCATTTATTTATTTATTTCCTTCTTAGGAATAACCCAGGGTCTCTGATGTTTTAGGAATGAAAAATGCGTTTGGATCCGGGAATATTTGGGTAAGTTGCGTTCAATGAGAGTCCACTGTGAGCCAGTGCCCAGTGTGGCAGCTTTCTTTGAGACTTAAAAGTTGAATTTGATTTTAGAAACTGGCCTGTCATGTGATTTAGCTGAAGGAAGAGGGTCTGTGGGTGCATAAGTCATTTCGAATGAATTAAGAGGAGCATTGAATCGCCTTCCCCCATGCAACTTCCCTTCCCAGATGACTGCTTCCAGGTAGGGGTCCTGGTGATGGCTGGGAGGGTGACTGGGGTGCTGGGCCTTCACTGGAACTATTGGGAGAAGGATGCTCTTCGGGTGGGCATGGCAAGCCTGCGGGATGCAGGGGGCTATGTGTGCCACATGGAGACCTCCGGGGAAGACCCTACCTCCCCGCCCCCCCTCCCCACCCCGAGGAGGGTGGGGTCCTTCCAGGAAGGTGATCCCGCTTGGCCTGGGTGGAGTGAGAAGGCCAGGTGGGTAGGTGTTGACCTTGACGGCCCAGCAGGCTCAGCGGCTGTCTCAGCTTCTGCCGTGAACATCCATGCTGCCGTGAGCATTTGAGTCCGCGCATTTGTGTGGATGTCCGTTCTGTTCTCGTGGGTCCACAACGAGGAGTGGGATTGCTGGGCCACACGGTCACTCCATGTGGAACATTCTGAGGAACGTCCAGACCGTTTCGCAAGGAGGCTGCCCCGGCTGCCGGCCCACCAGCCACGTGGGGAGGTTCCGAGGTCTCCCTGTCCTTGCCCGCTTTCCCCGCCTGTCCTCTGATGGTCTCCAGCCGAGCGGGTGTGCAGCGATGCCCGTGGGAAGCCCCCGCTTTCCAGCGGCTCGGTGACCCAGCAGGTCCCGTGGGAGCTGGCTGTTCAGAATGCAGGAGAGTTGTTGTGACAGGAGTGGTGTCCTAAGTGCGGGTGTGTTCCCCAAACAGCCACCCTGTGTTAGGCTCCCTGTGCGGTGGCATCACCTGTGAGGAGGTCTGAGAGCAGCGCTCACCTGGAGCAGGAGAGGGAGCCCATCCTTGTCCGACATGAGGGGGCACCTGGAAACGATGCCCCACTCTGAAGGAACCAGACCTGATCAGCTGTGCCCCCTGCTGCCCAAAGCCCTGTCCCGCTCTCCAGCACCCCCCAATCCAGCACCCCACAATCCGTTCAAAGTCCTCACCACGTGTGCCCTGTTGGGCCCCTGGAGATGGGGTCCTGCCCACTTCTCTGCCTTTACCTGCCTCTGTTCTCCCCTCTCTCCCCGGCGTTCAGTTCTGGGCCAGCTCTATCTCAATCCCTCAGCACCTCCTCAGTCCTGTCCCCTCTGCCCAGAATGTCCTGCTGTCACCGCTGGCTCCTTCTCACCCTTCAAGGGCCAGCTCACACCCCTCCCATCAGATACCACCGCCCCCCATCCCCCCAGGAACAGGCTCCTCTAGTTTCCACTCTGTTCATTTCAGCCCTGAAACACATGTCAGGCCTGACAGGCAGGGGGTTTCTTTCCCTGAGGCTAAAATTAACCCAGAGGCGCTGCCGGCTCACACAGACTCTCCTTTGCCTAAAGAGACGAGGCCCCCACCCCACCGCACCCCACCCCAACCCTGGCCTCAGCTGCAGCGTTTCATCAGCCCCTGGTTGGCTGTGTGGGCCGCGGTTCTCAGAGAAGCTATGCCGGGAGCAAGCACTGATCTCCCATTGATGGTGTCTGAGAGCTGGGCCTGGGCCTCAGAACCAGTTTGGTTTGAAGATTATCACCCTGTGGACACGCGCCCACCCTGGGACAGTGAGGAGCCCGCACAGCTCTGTTGCAAGAACCAGTTTCTTGCCCAGTCGCTGAGAAACTGTGAGCAGCTAACACCGGGAGGGCGGACCCCGCACGTGCTCACCTGGACAAAAGCCGATCCAGTGACCCCACGGCCACCAGAGAAGGGCACCGATTAGACCACCGGGATGAAAGGCCCTCGAACGTCAACAAACGCCCGTTTAAGCCCCGATTAAAGGTCACTGCCCAGTGGCGGCTTCTGAAGGGTCAGTTCCAGCAAGTAGCCCCTCTGACCATGGCGATCTTTGAACTCGATGAAGCAGTTAAGTAGCGAAGGTCAGAGGTCGCAGCAGCAGCCACAGAGGGCGAAGGAGAAGCAGAAGCCATGGGCGAATGGACGCTGTCACCGGCCTCCCAGTCCCACAGCCGCCCTGAGCCCAGCCAGGGGTCCAGCTTCAGAAACTGGAGCGTTTTCTCAGCCTCGGGAGAGAGTCCCCAGTCCACGGCGATGCTGTGAACCCCCAGGGCTCCCTTCCACACGCAGAGGCGCCGCTGAAACC